AAAGCTAGGAACAGCAAACGAAGAAAACAATTGAGGTCATTCCAGTTTCCTCCGAGTTCAAACATTATTATTATTTACTTCTTTTCTCCTTTTTGAATAACTAACAGAATCAAAAGTAATATTTATCCATCCATCAAATTATCTTTAAAAAATAAAATTGCATTATTTCACAAGGTAATAATTTTGAAAGGATTGAAGAATAGAATAGCATAAGTAAATTTTTCCTTGAGTTGCTTATTCCAATATATATAGAATTAAATTTATCCTATCTTTAGTAAAGTTGAAATTACAAGGTCAAGAGTAATAAAAGAATTTTGTCTCATCTTCAATAAAATTGAAAATATAAGGTCGAGAGTAATGGTACGGGCAGTGGTGGTTGGCTACATTTTTATGGATTAAAATACACAATTTCTTTATGTTGTTTGAAGATGTATTATGTTGCATAAGACGATTCTAATTGGTAAAGAGAGCCGCCTTTCGTCCTATCTAGTCCTAGCCGCTGGAATTCCACAACTGGAGAAAGAGGGGAAAAAAAACAAAAGAAAGAAAGAACTGATCATGTTTATATGGATCGTAAGTTATTTGAGATATTTTTACTGTAATACTTTTTGTGATGTGATGTATGCGAGATAAAAAGGTAATTGAGAAGATAAAAATATGTATTGAAAATTGTAATGATGATTTAAGCAAACTTGAAGTTTGTTAAATTACTGGTTTAAAATACATAGGCCAAGTTATTAGTAGCTCATGGATCCTAAGTTTTCCTTCTCGATATGCTGATTTATGCTTCTGTCTTCCACAGTTTTCACACTTATATGTGCTGTTATTAACAAAAAAATAACATTGAACTAATTAAGTTTTGGAGGTGGGATGCCTTTCACTTGATCATTATTTCAACATCAGAAAGTTAATTTATTGGGTTTTAATTTTCGATGATTCTCCTCTTTAATTTGTTGTTTTCCTTTTCTTTTGGAATGCCATGGTTGACGATCCTAAGAGTCGTCACTGGCATTCCATTGAATTTATGAAATATAAGTACAAAATCCTAAGAGTTACAATCATGATTCTTATTATCTAAGTAAAGTTGTTGAAAAAAACTCAAAAGGATAAAACATTAAGATATCTAATATAACATAAGCTTAGCAGCAAACCTTACATTTGCTGTTTCATTTTTAATTGTCATATTGAGATAGTTGGCATGAAGGCACTTGTGTGTTTAAGACTCATTTATTCTTCAATTTTTTATTTCAGTAGCATAAAGACAACACTACTATTTTTTATTTTTTTTGCCATTTTATACTTCTCAATGATTTACTTTAGTATTTTCTCTCTTTTATGGTCAATAAATGCTGAAGATAATGTCTTGGAAAGTTACATTTTCTATCATATTGCATAATTTTTCATATATCAATTAACATGACTTTCCATTTAAAAAAATTTATTAGCTAATTGTTAGTTTAACCCTCACTCTTAAGATACTAAAGTAGATTTTAAGCAATGCCATTGAATAACTGACATAGTCATAATATTCTAATATTTTATAAATTAGTCACTTAGTACTAGGGATGGCAATGGGGCGGGGGACAACTCCCACAACCCTTGCCCCCGGCTTCCCTTGCCCCGCTTCCCTCGCGGGGGCACCCGTGGGGTTAAAAAAATTTTATTATATAATTTCATTATAATTAAATTTGAACAAATAGTCAAGTACTAAAATATCAACACATCATCAAATTATTATTCATTGTAATTTCACAAGTGAAATTCATAAAAATAATTAAACAAAGGTTATTTGAATACAATCTAATATAATAAAACAAATATAACTAAAATAATCAAATTTTCACTTTTGATACAAATACAATCACTAAATTATTATTGTGTTTTTTTTTTTTAGAAAAAATGTTATTGTATTAAGTGTAGTTAGGAATTTAACATAAACGTATTAATAAATTTAGTATAAATAATTAATAATTTTTATTAATAGACATGTATAATTAGTAGTATAATTGATAATATCATTTTATGTATATAGTTATGTACATATATATATATATATATATATTTTTTTTTTCAAACGGGTGGCGGGGCGGGGGAGTATACCCCCGTCACCCGCCCCGTTTCTAAACGGGGGGAAAAAATTCCCCCCCCCGCTCCCGCCCCAATGACTCCCCTCGAGGCGGGTGCCCGCCCCCGTTGCCATCCCTACTTAGTACTCATAAAATCAATGTAGTTTAATAAAGATTTTTTTTTTCTCCCTGAAAGAGGTTATAAATAAAAAAAAATTAACATTTCTTATACATATTTGACTGGTTTGGTGTACACTGTACACACTGAAGATTGACAATTATTGGTTTTATTATATTATAAAAGATATTAACAAAATTGAATCAACTATACAATTAAAAACATTTATTTAGATTTATATATGACAAGTGTCGAGTCTGTGCAATAATAAATACCTACTCAAATAAAATATAAATTTTGTATATAGTAGTAGGCATGGTCGAATCTACAGGGACTGAGAAAAAATATGTCACTTTCCAAGTAAAAACTAATTGGGGGTTTTGGAAAATTAAAATTAAAATAAATAATTGATACAAATAAAAACAATTAAACTAAAGCAAATTAAATTTAAATTAAGAATAAGCAAGCACTAGCTAAGGATATAACTCCGAAAGTGGTTCATACAACTGATCATCGATGTAAAAATTATTTCATCTATTTATTAATAAACAGGTTATAGTTGTCAAATAACGATGACAACCAACTTTTTCTTAGTGGATCGATAGTTAAGATATGCCCATTAACTATTTTTCTAATCAAGAAATAATCCTAAATAAGCCTGTAGAATTTAATTTTTTGATTACATTAGAAACTAGAAAAACCCTATTCTAATTAATAAACACATTACCAGGGTTTATTTAAACTAGATTATATATTTTCCTAACATGAAACAAATCACGCTACTAATTTAAAATAATTAAATAATTATGAATTTAACTATCTTAAATGGTATTAGTTTGTTAAGTTGAATTAAATATCGGGTCTTTGATATTCAAACATTATAATAATCATGAGAAATTAAATTAAAAATTATACGAATACTAACAAATAAAGAAATTAATAAAAACAATTAGATTTCACATATATAGATGAACCAAATCCTTCGTTATTCCTTGACTAGAAAAAGAAAATTAGTTACTCTCCATTGAAAGTAACCCAAGCAATTCCATTAATGAAAATCACATGACTATTTGACAATCGGAGAAAAACGAAGGCAAAGGAAGAAAACGAAGAGACAAGCCTCGTCTCTTGCCCGAGACTGATCAATCTCTCGGGATCCGGAAAAACTCTTTGAAGCCAAGAATCCCTACTCCTTACGTCTCTTTCCTAAACTACTACTACTAATACTTCTACTTTCCCACGAAAGAAATACTTCCTAAATTAACGAAAGATAAATATTTGTTTCCTAATACAAAATGAAAAGCTAATTATCTTGGAAAAAGGGCACATGCATTTCAGGACTTCAACTTGAACTGAAAAACTACCATGCGACGTAAATCCTGCATCGTCAGACTTGACAGCAATTCTTGGAAAATCACTCTTTTTATCACTTTTGCCTCCATCACCCTATAATTAGTACCAAATATCAAATATAAGTAAAATCTATCCAATAATACAATGTTTAGCAAATATCAAGGGAAAATAAACATAAATTAAATAGTAATTTTGCATCCTATCAATAGACATTTTACTTTGACTCTTTAGAAATCTTTTTTTTTTTACTCTTTAGAAATCTTTTTTTTTTCAGTTACATTTTGACTATGTATGTTTTGAGATTTTCTTCAAATTTTAGTTTGGAAGAAGTTCAAATCCTTTCATTTTTTTATTTTTGTGATGCAAAATATGAAAAATGTCTGATAGAAAATTGTTTTGTATAAAGTTAATTTTATTTGTCCATCTACCCCCCCCCCTTTTTTTTTATTCTGAATAGTTTCTCAACGAATTTGTGATTTTACTAGTTTATTTCCTATATTATGCTCAACTATTTGGTCACCGTATAAAGTACAACATCATTTGGTCAAAAAAGCATTGAAATAGTATTCAATTAAAAAAGAGGTGGCTGGTTGGGTGGGGTGGGGGGGATAAAGTCTACTTTCGGTGTTAGTCGTTGGAAATTAAAGGATTTGAAGATAACTAAAGGATTTCTCGGATGCTTTCTGCGTTTCATGTATAATTAATCATGTGTGTTCACAGTTCACACTAATAAGTAACCACAATCATATTACAAATTAATAACGGAATGAGGCTGGTAGAGTGCGTTGCTGTTGCATGCACTGAGCTGGCCAGCTCCACCTCATAGCCATCTTTGCATTATTTTGAAGCCCGGAAGCCGACAATTGCATTTGCAGTCTCACCACCTATTAAGAGATTCCCATCTCTTAAAATATGGTATATTAGTGCACTAATTGATTTCTTTGTAACTTTAGAACATCTTGTCATTAATTTATTGATCTCCTTCAATTTATCACGTGGGTTTGTTTGGACAGTGAACTTATCACAAATATTTGCTTGCATCATAAACACATTTTTTAATTCACCTTTTTATATTTTCAATCACCATTTTATCTTACATACATCACATCACAAAAAATACTACAGCAATTATTCTAAATAATACTCTATCCAAACAATTAGTGCACTAATTGATTTCATCGTAACTTTAGAACATCTTGTCATTAATTTATTGATCTCCTTCAATTTACCAAGGTGGGTGTTTTTTTTTTTTGTGGGGGGGGGGGGGTAAAGCTTAGGTTAAAGTAACTATACCTATTATCGAATCCAAGGGTTTACCAATAAATCATTAACAGGGCCACAGTGCTAAAGGCTGCATTTCGACATAAATAGGTGCACAAGCACTGGTGTTCTGAAATTTGAAGATAATTTATACTAACCCTTTGGGTGCCTTTCTGCTTCTTGCCTACTAAGTATAATTTTGTATTCTTAACTGGTTTCAGCTACTCTCGGTTAGCTTTCACAAAAGAATTCGGCACCCTGAATTGAGCTTAGGTCTTGAGTTGCATTTTCTGTTCCACTCCGAAGAAATTAACTTTCCTCTGCATCACGTATTCCTGGAAAAAAGAGAGAGCAGAAATTAGATCCTCAGAAGGAGGAGGTTATATATGTCAGCAGAAGTGCAAAAGACTTTGCAGTAGTAGTTTATTTCTTCGTCAATGAAATCAACAATAATGTCCAGTCCACGCGCGTTGTAACTTTATTCCTTCCCTTGCTAAATGATAAGACACCATTGCTTTTGTACGATGCTGCAGTAGCCACACCATTTTCTTTATCCGACCAACGGACCCGCAGTTGAAAGAAGGTCCTGAAGGCTGACCACCCCACCAACTGCAGAGTCTTCTTAATAGCTTCAACGATTTTGTATTCTAATTTCTAAGCAGGTGAGAAGCAGCTTCGTCTTTCCAACTCACGTTGCTGCCTATCTTCCTGTCTTCAATTTCCATCATGTTTCTTGCTTTAGTTTCTTCTAATTTGTTAATTCTTTCTTTTTCTTTTTGATAAATACTGCACCATGTAGCATCGAAGTTCATCAGCTTATGAATCTATAACCTCCTCTTCCTTCTTCCTTTCAAGATATTACCAAGTGGACTGTCCCCTAAACGAGAAACCGCCTTCCCCGCATTATTAAGTTAGAAAGAAAGACTGAAAATGGCAGAAACAGTTCTCTCTTTTGTGCTGGATCAACTCTCAACTTTTCTGCGCGAGGAGGGACCACTATTGGGAGGGCTTCGGCAAGAGGTCCTGATAGGGTATAATTTGTTAGTAATTTTATTATTGATTTCCCCTTCTATCCCTAACAAATATTGTGTTAATTGCTGATATTTACTCATATTTGGTATTTGGAATCAATTTCAGGAGTGAAGCAGAAAATTACTAAAAAGGAGGGACTTGTATGGAAAAATGCAGACTTCTAAGGGTCTCAACCTTTAGGTCCTTGAATTGGTGGGGACCACAAGCTAGTACAAGGCATTTAGTCATTTGGGCTTTTCAAAGAAGGCAACGTAGAGTGACTTGCAACAACAAGTACTTTGGAGGTTTTGTCCACATGTGCGGGGACCACGGATAAGAAGCATGAGTCATTTGGACTCTAGGAAAAGAAACGTACAAGACTTTGAATTTGGTGTAGGGACCACTAGAGATAGCATTAGACTTCCTTTTGGCTTTAAAAAGGGAGAAACGTACGGGAGGTTTATCAATCAATAGTTTTAGTTTAGACTTTTAGCATAGTTTTAGTTTTCTTTTCTTAGCTCTTTCGCATGGTTATTCTCCATTAATGGAGAACTAACCTCTTAATTCAAGTCAAGGGGACAACTAAAGATTTGGTTCAACAATTACTGTGAGATCTAATTTATTTTAATTGCTTCCTTAATTTACTGGTATTTATATGTTTCCTGCTTTTAATTGCTATAGCTCGTGTGAGTGATTGAATAGATGCGCAATATTTAATTATTCACATAAGCTATTTTGCTAAATAGGGATAATTGAATTCGTAATTGTTCGTTATCTTTATCTCAGTAGCAACTGGCGTAATTGGGTTTATGTCAGGGGAGCATACGATCTAACTTAAACAAACCCTCGTAGCGTGTTTGTTAGTTAGGATTGGACCTTTCTAATTATTAATACAATCTAGAAATTAAATCCTACGGTCGTACCTAGGGTTGTTTTTGGGTTAGAGAAATAGTTAACGGTCGTACCTTAACTATCGAGAAATTAAGGAAATGTTGGTTGTTTATCGCGTGCATGACAACTATAACTGGTCTATTAATAAATGTGAAATTATCTGTGAATCAATGATCAGTGTCTGAACCATTTCTGAAGTGTACCCTTGGCTAGAGTTTTCCCTTAATTATTTCTCTTAATCAATTATTTTCTGCAGTTAATTTATTTAGTTAGCATTTAATCCAAAACCCCCCATACCTTGGACTCTAGAAGAAACGAATTATCTCCAATCCCTGTGAATTCGACCCTGCTCACCGCTATATACAAAATCTGTATTTTTCTCGAGTAGGTATTTATTATTGCACAGGTTCGGCACCTGCCAATTTTTGGCGCCGTTGCCGGGGATTGGTGTCTGATTAATTTGTTTCTTTTTGAGTTCATTTTTTTTTATTATTTTCCTCTTTTTTTTATTATATATATATATAATTTATGGCTGCTAACATTCCGTATTTTGGTGATAGACTGGATTTTATTTCTAGAAAGGGTTATGAAGCTTGTGCTTTTTCTAATGATCAATGGGCTGCTGCAAATTGTGGAACTTATTTTGCCTCAGATCATTCAATCGACATATGCCATGCATCTCAAGATGGTCTAAGTGCTCCAATAAATACTTTTGGAAATTTTTCGCCTCAATATCAAACATGGTATGACCCTATTTCAAACGGGTATGATCAAGGATGGTGGGATGATTCCAATCTTAATTATGAACAAAGGCCAGTGGATTTTCAACAGCTAGAGTTTCAAGAACCGTTATCCATGTCAGGTATGTCTCTTGAAGAAATAGTTGAATCACTAGATACTAACACATATCTGATTCAACAGGAGACACATCAAATTCAACAGGAGGTACATCAACTTCAACAAGAGACACGAAAGATGAGTGAAGAGATGGAAGAAGGAAGGCGTGAATGGGCCTCTAAAATGAGCAAATTGATTTCTCCAGTTTATGAAGAATTGCCCTCACCGACTATTATCGACCATGAGAAAGATGAGAGTGCAATTATTCTGACAAATGACATGGTACTGCAAGGGTCTCAAGAAGAAGAATCTAAAGATGCAGTTGAAAAGAAAGTTGCAGCGCAAGAATTGAGACCCCAACATCAAATGGTTCAAGTGAATGAATCCAGTAAACAATCTCCAAATGCGGTGACATCTCCTCCATTCCTTGATCAATATTTTCCTGACTCTTATTCTTTAGTTCCTGTTAGCGAGATTGATTTTATTATACCAGAAAATTTGAAATTTCATGACAGGAACAAGTCAAGAGTCACGATGGCAAAATATCTCAAACCAATAAGTGCTTGTGATGGAGGAGTGTATGAAGATTTAAGGTCATTACTTGGTTGTTTGGCGCCATCTACTAGTCCATGGAAGATTGTAGCTCGTGTGCTAAAAAATTACTGTACTTACGAGGGCTATCAAGATTACATAGAGGATGAAGCACTGAAGCGAGCTACGCGATTTTATCCTCCATGAATAAACAGGACAATGTCTAGCCAAAGACATTAAACAAAGGCGCAACTTAGGAGGCAACCCAAGACTATTTGTTTCAGTTTTCATGCATTTTTGAAGTTTTAGTTAGGTGTTGGTGACAATTAATAGTTTGATGTTTGGTGGCAGGAAATTAGTAGTTAGACGTGCCCACGCCAGGTGGTCACGCCTGAGGGAAGGAAATTCTCGTTCAGGATCTGCGGACTCTATAGCGGTTAGACGCGCCCACGCCAGGTGGTCACGCCTGAGGGAAAGAAATTCTCGTTCAGGATCTGCGGACTCTATAGCAGTTGAGCGTGCCCACGCCTTAGCCAGAGGTTCCTTGACTAAAAAAAAAAAAAAACATTTTCCGTCTTATACCTTCAGTTTTGATTCTCACAATTCGGATTTTGAAATTTGAAGGTGCAAAAAAAAAAAAAGAACTATTTTTTTTCCTTTTTCCTTCTTTCTTTCTTTCTTTCTTTCTTCTTCTTTCTTTCTTCTTTTTTTCCCCGCTACCCTGTTTCCCTTTTCTTTTATTTCTTCTTTCGGCTGCCCTCCATCCGCCGCCACCCACTCCGCATCAACTCCCCATCGCATGCCGCTGCCCATCGCGAGCCACTCGCCTCGCCGTCCGCCGCCATTGGCACCCTCCAGCAGCACCGCAGCGAGCTCCACCGCACCTCACCCACAGTCTGCTCTAGCACCGGCTCTCCTCCAACTTCGCCCACGACCAGAGCACGCCGCGGACCACCAGCCCTTCACCTGCGTGAGCGCCACCGCCTCAGCTCGCCATAGCCGCGCGCCGCACGAAGCTCCACCCACCGTCTCTTCGCGCGCCTCCGTCACCAGATCTCACTCTCCTGCCGCCCGCGCAGCCCAGCCCGCGAGCCTGTTGCCCTTCACCAGCCGCGCACCTCAGCCACGGTCCACTTTGCTGAGGAGCCGCACCGCCGCTAGTGAAACGCAACTGTCCGTCGTTGCTGACCGCCGCCCATCACCACCTGTCAAGTCTGACAGGTGGAGGTATTGCCATTTCTCCCCCAATTAGTTTAACTCACTGAACTCTGTGTATGGGCTTCCTGATGGATTAAAGAATGTGATAATTCGGAAATTTCTGGGGTTCATTTTGGACAGATTTGGGTCTAATTGCTACCATATGTGGGGATATTTTCTGCTATTTGTTGAATTGTTGGCCGTCTGACCTTCCCTGTGTGTATACCAGTGGTACTGGTTGGGGTGTTTTGTTTATATTCATTGATTTTATGTGGTCGCCTGTCTGTTTGCGAGCTAATAACCTTGTACTTCAGTTGTTGGTCGCATTTTGACCTGTGGTTGCTGATATTGCCAATTGCTTGGCTAAATTGCTAATTTGGTAAATTGTATTGGGTAATTGACTGTCTAGTTCGAGACAGTGGTTCCGGTTTTGGGTCCAACTGTGTCTAATTCATTTCATTGGTGTCAAATTGTGGGTACATTGCTGCAATTGCTGGTTATATTAGGGGACGCCCGTGACGCTTCTTTTTGCTTATTGATATTGGTTGCATGTTCTAAGCGGTTCTCGTTACTGATTGCTTGTTTTTGGCCGGCTACTGTGCTCCTCCTTTGTTTATTGCTTATTGGTTGTGTCTTATCGACTTGCTTGGGGTCTTTGGAGCAGTTGTTGCACTTTGGACGGCCTTAATTCTGAATTTGACTACATGGGGTCCATGAGTACTTATTGATTGCATTTGCTATAAGTGTTGGGGTCTGGTTTAATCTATGGGAGGTTGAATTGTGCATTTTACTCATTGGGATGGCTTTAAAAATTGTTATTGCTTTGAATTTTCAGCTTCCATTATTTGTTGGCAATGGTAGTCTCTTGTTGCTTAGAGTGATATTTAGAGTTCATGGTGAAGCCACGAATGGCACCAGCTCCAGATGTGAGTTGAGAGACTAGAGACTCGGATGACCCACATTGACGTCACCATGCAAGTCTTGATCCCCAATTTCCACCTGAACTGCCCCTGTTTTGATGACTTCAGGGAAGTACCGTTGCCCCTCTCCTTCCTTCTACTTTTACATTATCACATTGAGGGCAATGTGTGAATTAGGTGTGGGGGGGAATCATTGTGGTGCTAGAAATTTTGTTTTTAGTTTCTAGAGTTTTTTGTCTTTCTTTATTTTATTTTATTTTATTTTTGTTTGTTTTTGTCCATCTTTCGTTTATTTTCTTTTTTTTTTTCTTTTTTCTAGTGGTCAGTCTTCATATGAATACCAAGTTTTGATGTTGGATTGTTGTCTCTGATTCTGATGTTGCCAAGTTTATTAATAAAAGGTATCGAGTTGATGTGGTTGAGTTCAGGAATATCTCTTTGGTGAATATCAATAATTGCTTAACTTTTCCTATTTTTGGTTAACTTTTCTAAGCATGGGGAATGATTGTTGGCATTTTTCTTGTGAATTGGTCCAATTATTAATTTTAGTTCTCCATGTTTGGAAATTTGAGGCTGGCTGCTGTTATTTTTGTGTTATTGTGCTATATGGTTATAAATAAGAGTTGACTGTACTCCGCTAGTGATTACTACTGAGTAACCGGGAATCTTCACCTAAAGTGTTGATTTTCGCGTCAAAAGGTAGTAGTTGCTATGAGTGCGTGGTCCCGTAGCAATTAGAGCTGAGTAACCGGGCTCCTCCATCTGTCAAATGTTGGAGTTCGCGTCAAAAGGCTCTAAGGGCTATAGACTAAGTCTTTTGTTATTGGTGAAAAAAAAAAGTGAAGTAAAGATTGTGTTAGTATGTGAATAAGTCAGCTTGCCGGCTTGTGATCTTAGTGTCGAGATTTTGGTTAATAGCTGGACCATTTACTGATAAATGTGAGCAACCATTCCTTTTTCTTAGATTAGTTTGCTTTAAATTGGAAAAGTTGGTGGTTGGGAAGCTAACTGGGGGGATGCTTCTTGGATTTTAATTACTAATGCCCGATATATGGTTCTCTCTTGAATATCTTGACAATTTGGTAGATAGAGCAATGACCATTATCAAATTTTGGTGTCTGTATACTTTTCCCATGCTTGAGGGCAAGCATGATTCAGGTGTGGGGGGAATTGATAGGGTATAATTTGTTAGTAATTTTATTATTGATTTCCCCTTCTATCCCTGACAAATATTGTGTTAATTGCTGATATTTACTCATATTTGGTATTTGGAATCAATTTCAGGAGTGAAGCAGAAAATTACTAAAAAGGAGGGACTTGTATGGAAAAATGCAGACTTCTAAGGGCCTCAACCTTTAGGTCCTTGAATTGGTGGGGACCACAAGCTAGTGCAAGGCATTTAGTCATTTGGGCTTTTCAAAGAAAGCAACGTAGAGAGACTTGGAACAACAAGTACTTTGGAGGTTTTGTCCACATGTGCGGGGACCACGGATAAGAAGCATGAGTCATTTGGACTCTAGGAAAAGAAATGTACAAGACTTTGAATTTGGTGTAGGGACCACTAGAGATAGCATTAGACTTCCTTTTGGCTTTAAAAAGGGAGAAACATACGGGAGGTTTATCAATCAATAGTTTTAGTTTAGACTTTTAGCACAGTTTTAGTTTTCTTTTCTTAGCTCTTTCGCATGGTTGTTCTCCATTAATGGAGAACTAACCTCTTAATTCAAGTCAAGGGGACAACTAAAGATTTGGTTCAACAATTACTGTGAGATTTAATTTATTTTAATTGCTTCCTTAATTTACTGGTATTTATATGTTTCCTGCTTTTAATTGCTATAGCTCGTGTGAGTGATTGAATAGATGCGCAATATTTAATTATTCACATAGGCTATTTTGCAAAATAGGAATAATTGAATCCGTAATTGTTCGTTATCTTTATCTCAGTAGCAATTGGCGTAATTGGATTTATGTCAGGGGAGCATACGATCTAACTTAAACAAACCCTCGTAGCGTGTTTGTTAGTTAGGATTGGGCCTTTCTAATTATTAATGCAATCTAGAAATTAAATCCTACGGTCGTACCTAGGGTTGTTTTTGGGTTACAGAAATAGTTAACGGTCGTACCTTAACTATCGAGAAATTAAGGAAAGGTTGGTTATTTATCGCGTGCATGACAACTATAACTGGTCTATTAATAAATGTAGAATTATCTGTGAATCAATGATCAGTGCCTGAACCATTTCTGGAGTGTACCCTTGGCTAGAGTCTTCCCTTAATTATTTCTCTTAATCAATTATTTTCTGCAGTTAATTTATTTAGTTAGCATTTAATCCAAAACCCCCCATACCTTGGACTCTAGAAGAAACGAATTATCCCCAATCCTTGTGGATTCGACCCTGCTCACCGTTATATACAAAATCTGTATTTTTCTCGAGTACGTATTTATTATTGCACAGGTTCGGCACCTGTCAGGTCCAATTCATCAGGGATGAGTTGGGGCACATGAAGGCTTTCCTGAGAGAGGCAGAAGCAAAAGAAGAAGACGCTCAACCCAGGCTCCAAGAATGGATCAAGCAAGTGCGAGAAGCTGCTTATGACACTGAAGACATTCTTGATGAATTTGTAGCTCGCTTTGCTCGGCATCGCGCAACAGGATTCTACGGCTCTGTTCGGAGAATTTTCAGCTCCATCAAGAATTTGAGAGCTCGTCATCGAGTTGCTAGCGAAATACAAAGCATCAAGTCCAGAACCAAATGTATTTCTGAAGGTCATCAAAGATACCAATCCGAATATGGTATCTCTGCCCAGGCGTCCAACTCAGTATCTGCTGTGAACAACACAACCTGGCGCTATAGCAGAGACGATGCGCTGCTTGTGGAAGAAGCTAAATTAGTTGGCATTGACCAGCCCAAGAAACATCTAATTTCTCAGCTCCTCGAAGGGGATGATTACCAACTAAAAGTTGTTTCAGTGGTTGGTATCGGAGGACTTGGCAAAACTACCCTGGTGAAAAAAGTCCATGAGGATCCTGAAGTCAGAAGGCATTTCCCAGTTCGTGCTTGGGTAACTGTCTCTCAAACATGCGAGTTTCATGATCTCCTGAAAGACTTGATTCGACAGTTACACGAGGAAGGGAAGAAACCAGTCCCACAATCGATAGAGTCTATGACTGCCACTGAGCTGAAAAAATTTGTCAAAGACTTTCTTCAACAAGCTGGAAGGTATGCAATTGTTTTTGACGATGTATGGGACGTAGAATTTTGGAATACCATCAAATTTGCACTGCCCGAGAGCTGCTGTGGCAACCGTGTCATGCTAACAACTCGAAGAGCTGATTTAGCTGCTGTGGGGCGTTTTGTCTACAGAATGGAGCCACTATCTGTTGAGGATTCAAGGACCCTGTTTTGCAACAAGATCTTTAACGGTGGTACTTGCCCTGGCCATTTGATGGATGTTGCCAAAGGTATATTGGATAAATGTGAGGGCTTGCCCCTTGCAATCCTTGCAATCAGTGGGCTTTTGGCTTCGAAAGATGTAAACAGAATAGACGAATGGGAGATGGTTCGACGTAGCCTTGGGTGTGAATTAGAAGGCACGGGCAAGCTGGACAGAGTTAAAAAGATACTTTCTCTCAGTTATGGTGATTTGCCTTGGCATCTAAAGACGTGTCTGTTGTACACAAGTATCTTCCCAGAGGATTACGAAATAGAATGCGCAAGACTCGTTAATTTGTGGATTGCTGAAAGGTTTGTAGAATGGAGGGAAGGAATGAGTATTGCAGATGTAGCCTGGGGTTATTTTAGTGAACTCGTCAATAGAAGCCTAATTCAAGTGACTAAGGTGTTTTACGAAGGAATGCCCAACACTTGTCGAATCCATGACCTGTTGAGAGAAGTCATTCTTCTCAAGTCAAGGGAACAAAACTTGGTCACAGTTACTACTGGACAACCAACGATGTGGCCGTCCGATAAGGTTCGCCGTCTTGTAGTCCATAGTTGTAGCAGTGACAACACCCAGCACCACCAACAAGGACACAATGATTGCTTTGACCACCTTCAGTCGTTCGTTACTGTTGGATCCACGAACCCACTACTGTCTAGATGCTTGTTATCTAAAGTTTCAGAGAGTAGTAAGTTATTAAGGTTTTGGATTTGAGAGGTCAAGAGATATTGGAGGAAATGCCAAATGAGATTTTCAAGATGTTTCATCTCAAGCATCTGGACCTATATGGTACAGGAGTGGAGAGAGTCCCAAAAGGCATTGGGAAGCTTCAACATTTGGAGTTTCTGGATTTGGGTAACACTGCAGTTAGGGAATTACCCATGGAAATCCTAGAGCTGCAAAAACTTCGGTATCTCAGAGTATATCAACTAGTTGATTCTTCAGATGATGATTATGGATCTCACGGATTCAAAACTCCATCTAATATGGGAGGGCTTCTTGCCTTAGAAACATTAAGCACCATAGATGCAAGTAGTGGATCTACAATAGTCAAGGAGATAGGAAAGCTGACCCAATTAAGAGAGCTATATATTACAATGTTGAAAAGAGAAGATGGAAAAGAGCTCTGCTCCTCCCTTGCCAACCTCACCAGCCTTCGGAGATTAAGCGTTGGTTCAATTGGAAAAGGTGATGATCATGAGATAATTGATCTAAATCATCATCATCCTTCTCTTTCTTCTTCTTCTTCTTCTTTTCTTCAATCTCTTCATCTGCTGATTTTGCGTGGCCGCTTAGAAAAGATGCCACAATGGATAGCTCGTCTTCACTGCTTGGTAAGATTAGATTTGAATTGGAGCAGGTTGAGGGGTGAGGAGGATCCGCTTGAATCCCTCCAACATTTGCCCAATTTGGTTAGTATTAATTTCTGTGGATCTTACCAGGGAGAAGGGCTGTGTTTCAAGGCTGGAGGGTTCCTGAAATTGAAGAGGTTGCACCTAAAGAGAATGGAAGGGTTGAGATGGATGAGAGTGGAGGAGGGTGCATTGCCTCGTCTCCAAAAACTATTTCTGCAACAACTTCCATTACTGGAGGAATTACCTTTGGGTATTCAGCACTTGAGCCACCTTCAACGGTTGATTTTGCATGAGACGAGTTCTCAATTGAGAGAGAAGCTGTTAGAGAATCAGAAGGAAGAAAGTGAAGATTACAGAAGAATCGCACACATTCCTGAAATTCTCATTGGTTACTATACAGATGATAGGAAATGGAGAAGCTGCAACCTGTGGGCGGAGAAGAAGAAAACATATAATCTTTCCAAGCAGCAGCAGTAGCAGTCGTGGCTCCCTTTCTCTAGTTTGTACCCTCCCTGTTGTGGAGAACACTGGTTCCTCTCCTTTTGTTTTTATTTTTTATTTTTTTTCTTAATTTTTCTTCCCTTCGATGTCCATGAGAAAGCTCATCATCTTCTGTGTTTTACATTATTCTTATTTATTGTAAATGTAGAATGCGTGATGTTTTTTTAATGTACTGTAATAGAGTATTACTCTTTTATCTTTGTGTTTTTTGATCTTTTCTATATTTTGTTTAGCAAATGATGAAGAGGTAGACATGTTAAATAAAAGTGTATTAATAATATCTACAAGAAAATTTTTATTAAAATCTCCAAATAATAACTTTCAGATTTTGGTGAGAGATAATACATAATCCCAAAAGTGTACAAACCCATCTGAACGTGTTGCTGGTCAATTTGTCGCATGGAATGTCGTAGAAGGTTTGGCTAAACAATGACCATTCCCATTCCCAGCACACATTCACGCACTAAAACACAGAAGAAACCCGTGATTTTTAGCAGCTGGTGGTGCTACTGTTCTTGATTGCCAACTTTATATCCAAGTTCTAGCTCTTGCCTTCTCACTTCTCTTGCCCCTTTTTGTATTTTAACTGTTCCCCTTTTTCATTTTTGAATGACCGAATTGCTTTCTTTTTAAGGAAATCATCTTAATAATTGATAGCAAATGGGGATTTTTTCTGAAAATGAAGTGCAAATTTCTTGATTTACCTAAAAATACAAAAAAAAAAAAAAGAAGACAGATAATATGTCCTTAAATCGGTAACAGCATATATCTGCAAATCTTAGTATCTACTTGAATGGTTGTTTTTAAAGTGTTTTTAGAAAATGATTACTACAATCATTTTATCGCAAATATCATATGTGAATTAAAAATGTAGTCAGAGATTGCGTTAAAAAAAATTTTAAACTTGAGTTTTCTAGAAACCGTCCGTGTAAAACTGATTTTTATTCCACATACTATTAATTATTAGTATAATACTATCTCAAGATATTTTATGTATAAATTTTTATCCTCTCTTGCTAGAGAAAATTGAGAAGTCTTTTATTTGTGAACTAATGATGAGATTTAGGTTCCGTTTGATAAAACTGAATCTGAATTCTGAAGTCTGAATTCTGAAATCTGAATACTGAAACAATTAATTTGCTGAATTTTAAGCATTGAAAAAAATATGTGAATGTCTGAATTTTAATGCTAAACCTATTTATACTGTTTGATAAATATTTATAGCTGAATGCTTAATAAGTTTAATTTGATAATTTTGCCCTTATATCCTTTCATTCAAAAAAGAAATAGAATCTATGATTTAATTAGTTTAAAATTGTTAGGTATGAAATGACAATATTTATTTTTAAATCAAATTAATATAAAAGATGAAATATATTATATGAGGAATATGGAAAATATGTGAAAATGATTAAAAAGGGAGAAAAGAGAAACTAAAAATCGTTAGATAGAGAATATTAGGTTGTTTAATTAGATAAGAATTTTGAATATAATTAACAAACAAGGGTAGATTTGGTAGATAAGATAAGGTAGTTGAAGTAATTCTATTGATTTTTATCAGAATTAAGCATTCAGTTAGGATTCTTGAGCTAAAAAAATACACACAGGTTCAGCACTGCTTAACAAGTTCAACAAATAGATTTTCATTTATCAAACACTCAAAACATCTGACTGTCTGAAAAAATTCAGATTCAGCACTTTTTTATGTTATCTAACAGATCCTTAGACTTTTTGCTCTCCTATAATCAATTATCTTCAATGTTTTGATTTATGAACAATCAAATCAAGTTTCGAGTTCGAAATCTTCCGCTTACAGTAGAAAGAAAAAAAATGAGACCATCATTTGGTGCTATGCGTGGGCTCATGCCCATAGGCCAATTGGTTCTACTTAGCTCCTTTGACCTGAGTGTTCGTGGACTAGACCTGCCCTGCTTTGGCTGATTAAATACAGTTGAAATTCTTAGGTAATCATAAACCAGTTAAACAGTAAAAGAAAAAGGGAGACAACAATTATTTGTAGACAATACGTATATTATTTTTTAGAATATGATGGTCGGTTCAATTGAATTGAAAAGGACAATGACCAAGTGACAAATGTTATCTGTGGTTTGACATTTAACCATTCCCTTTCTTTTTTTTTTTTTTCCCTTTCTAAAGTTTAGAATCTTTATTTTGATATTCTAAACATTTATAAACTCTATAAATTCATTAAATTATCAACTGAGTTCAATTGGACAAAGTTGTACCCTTAAACCTTGTACAAGTCAATTCCTGCTTAGCTTTATGCATTTACAATTTTTTTGTATGTAACTAGACTTAATAATTAATATGAGTTTAGTCCCTTGTCTTCTCTAATTTTTGCTTGTATCCATCTAACGTTGTTGCACATGTATAATCATAGTTCTGGCCAAAAGTCGACAGGTGTCGAATCTATACAATAATAAAATTCTACTTACAAAAAACTTTATTCGAGTATAATGGTAAGTAGGATCGTCTCCACAGGGATTAAGGGAAAATCTGCTTCTTTCCAAGTAAGAGCTAAAAAGGGGGTTTTGGAAGATTTAAAATAAATATAAAATACTTGATGGAAATTGATATGTTACATTTTTATCATTAATTTTATGATTGTTTCCCTTGTTTATTTTACCAAATATTGCGTTAACTGATAGATTTTACTTATTTTTGGTAAATGGCACTGGTTGTAAGGATTTGGAGCAAAATGGGAATGAAAGTCATGATTTTTCACTAGATTTGCTGTTCCGCATGGTCACTTAAAACTCTATACGTCCGAAAAGCTCGGGAATTAGGGTGTAATTTTCAGACGCTAGTTGAAGTCATATGAATAGGACACTCCACCAAATGGATAGTGTTTTATGAGAACTAGGAAGCTAGACTATTTTGTTTATGATGATATTTGACTTCAAATAGTAGTAGTAGTTTAGTAGCAGTTGATACGTGTGTATTTTACATGTTCTAAGTATGTTTTATTAATTAGTTTTGGTGTGTTTAATTTAGTTTTATAACTAATTAGTTAGGATTCTTGTGAAATGTGCATTTTGTGGTTTGAAGTATAAAAATTGTATTTTTATGGATTTTAATGGTGAAACTTCATGTTTTTGTAGGTTTAATGATTCAATCATTAAATGGCATGAATTGAGAAGATAATTGGATGATTGATGATGATTAGAAGTGATAAAAAGAGACTAGTTTTGGAGCTTCTCTTCTAAAGAAAAAAAAAAAGTGATAAAAAGAGAATATGCAGTGCAATAGATGAAATGCAATTTAGTATACAAGAAAGAAGTTTTACAGTTTTGATACCTTTTAGTAATTCGGCTATATCTTGAGTTACAAGTATTGAATTGAGGTGATTATTGAATCATTTTGAAATTAAGAGATAGATATACATTTGGTATGGAGATATCTAAGTCCAATTGAGCTATTTTCATTATCAAAAAGTCGAAATGCAAAAGTGCATTTTCATGGTCCAAAACTAAAATAGAGTTTCGACTAGTTGAGAGTATTTTGGTCATTTCTTGATTCATAGAGCTTTAAATTGGATGATTTTTTATGCATTAAAAAACTAACTTAAAGGACTACAACTTTCATATTTTGTACAAGAGTTAGTTTAGCCTTTATCATTGAGAAAATATCAATTGAAGTTGGACTAGCAATAGGAGGCTAGTCAATAGTTTTTTGTTTCTTTAGTCGTTGCCCTTATCTCTTCGTTATCAAGCGGCAGACTAGTAGTCATTAGGTATTCTTTCTCTGGTAGCCGCAAGGAACAATAAAAAAATGTTCTCTTCTTTTTCCTGACTTCAAATAAAATACATCGCTTTTAACAGTCACGAATGGAACTAGAGTTTTAGATTGAATGGGGTGAAATATACGTGTACACAAACTTTCGAATCAACGTAACATTTTCTTTCCAAATTTTTTGGGGTGACGGAGGAACAAACAGCTTAAAATACATACGAATTTTCAAAATTCTCAAAAATTTCCCGGGATAAGATATGAATATCTAGAACTTGGGAGATAGGGTGGCCCTTTCCTCCTGAGCGCGTTACTTTAGCGCCCAGCTTTACTTTCTTTTGGAATAATTGCATAAACTTCCCCTGAGGTTTATGACAGTTGCACTCACGTTCCAGGAGATTTGAAAAATAGCACTAACCTTCCTTGAATTTAAGATTTTTATAACAACTTCATCCCATGTTAGAGAAAGTGCCATTAAAAAAGTTTTTTGAGAAGTGAGATAATAATTTTGTTCTATTTGTATCAGTTTTGCCTTTTATGATATTATATTAGTAAAAGAATGAAAAACGTTAAAAGATAGAAACAATTAGTGAAACATATAAGATATATGTGCAAAATTTGGAAGAAACAGCAAACATATGTTCAAAAATCTGAGATTCTAAAGCATACAAAGAGACTATTGATCAAGCAAGAAAATTGACCTTTGATCAGTGCAAGAAAGTTTCTTATTGTCATACTTTATAGTATAACAATCTCACATTATTTACCATATTTCATACACAACTATGTTCTCTCATGATTGACACAACAATTTCATCATACTATAATTACCACCACAACTTTGTGTATTAAGTTGAAATGGTAAAGAATTGCTTACCTATTATCTTCTGATTGTCACAAATTTTTAATAAAAAAAAATCCTCAGATTTTGCCTTGATTTCTCCTTTTGTTTCTGATTTTCATGAAATAAGCTCAACCAAAACCACAAAAACTTATTCTTTTATGAAGCCTTTCCTGTAGGTTTCTTTTCTCCTATATTTGTCTTGTTTCTGCTTCTCTTCTATATAGAAAATATATGATTTGCATTGTTCTCACAAGTATTGTCAATCCCAAAATGGCACCATGTTGGAGCATCAAAATGGCACCACTTTATAAGTGCACTTACAATGCCTAATAAAGCAAAACAATTGTTAATCTTGTTTAATTAATTATTTTAGACTTGTTTA